ACTCTGAATAGGGTCATTCTCTGCCTTCCCCTTTGCTGGACAGAAAACCTATGAACTCTATGAGTCCTCTTCTCTAGAGAATCCTTTTTAGAGGAGGACTCAGCATGGCATCTAAGTTGTGTAGTATCATATTTTAAAAACGGTTTCATTTTTGTGATTTTTCATTTCCAGCAGTTGGGGATGGGAACTGTTCTGCTCTCTTATTGTGCAGGGCAGGCAGAGGGAGCAGAGCCAGGAGAGCGTCAGGGCCACCACTTACCTTTTAGTCCCATTTCCACTCACCACCTATCTCCCAGCCCATGCTACTTGGCGATGTATACAATGGAGACTTCCTCTTCCTTGCTGAACTCAAGACTTTCAAGATATGAGGATGGTACACTCACAAGAGCATAAGCTTTGTTGACTTCCTGGTATATCTACTTTTCAGAAGGTGACTGAAGGATTCACATAATCTGGAGGAATGAGAAAATGAGCAGAAAATGAGCACTTCTGGTGGGAGTCAGAAGGGCAGGAACCCAATGAGAGGATACATGTCCTTGGTACAGTGGACTCCCCTCCTGGGCCTAAGAGGTACAGCAAGCCAACAGGATGCATGGGCCATTATTTCTTAAGCAATCAAAAATAGAATAAAACTTAACACTCTTGATAGGGTAAAAAGAGAAGGATCGCACAAATGACAAAATATTCCTCTGTGGAGGCAGATCTCAGTTCCAACTCTGGGAGGGTAAGAGGAGTAAAGATTTCCTTACCCTGCTGCTCCATGTGGACTGGCAAGCAAGGAAAGAGTTCTTAATGGGGCTGCTGGGTTTCAAATAAGTAATTTTCCCTCCTCAGGACACCTGTAATTAAAAAAATCCCATCCCCTGCCCATTAGTCAAAAATAACAATAAAGAATAAGAAGAGAAGTTGGTAGAAAGTAAGGGTTAGAGGAAAAAGACAGGTGCGCTTGGAGATTTCATTAGCTAATTTTTGGGCTAGTATCTCAGAGCCACAAGACCTGTTTTCCTTCAATTAGGGACTAGGGGTGAGGGCCATAGGATAGCAACTTGGCCCTCAGGAAGCTTCTTATTTTATTTTATTTATTTTATTTTATTTATTTATTTATTTTATTTATTTTATTATTTTATTTCTTTATTTTTTTAGGAAGCTTCTAATTTGGTATGTCCACCCTTGATTCTATTTTATGGGTTTCCATTTCCTCTTTTGGCCTACTGCTGCAGAACCTGACCCATGGACATAGACTGAGTAATAATGATGGAGTCCGAGAGATGCATTTAAAAAAGCAAAGTTCACACAGTGAAATAAGTCAATTAGAGAAGGACAAACGTTATATGGTCTCATTCATTTGGGGAATATAAAAAATAGTGAAAGGGAATAAAGGGGAAGGGAGAGAAAATGAGTGAGAAATATCAGAGAGGGAGACAGAACATGAGAGACTCCTAACTCTGGGAAATGAACAAGGGGTTGTGGAAAGGGAGGTGGGTGGGGGTGGGGGTGACTGGGTGACAGGCACTGAGGGGGGCACTTGATGGGATGAGCACTGGGTGTTATGCTATATGGTGACAAATTGAACTCCAAAAAAGAAAAAGTTCACACAAGTTTATAAAGTTTTACCAGGACACAGTCACACACATTTATTTGCATATTGTCTGAGTGTTTTCATGTTATAATAACAGAATGTGAGTACTTGCAACAAAAAATCCCATGGCCTACAACATCTGAAATATTATCTGGTTTTTTTTTACAGAAGGATTTGCCAGCTCCTCTAGATCTAGAGCTCTCACACTGCATTTAAATGCTTAGCTTCGAAGGGACACATAGCATTCTACTCAACTCATTGGCCGAAATGTTCACATGACCCCACTGGACCACAGGAGGCCAGGAAGTGCGCATCCTACTATGTGCCCAGGGTGGGGGATGACCAGACTATTTGGCAAACCCTACTAATGACCACCACAACAGCCTACTATGTGTTGACCTCAAGACTGAGTGCTGGATATAGAAAGATAAGCCAAAATCCCTGATATCAAGGACTTCAAGGAATGCCAGAATTTGGGGGCTGGGCAGGAGGAAGGCTAACTATAGAGTAGATTCAAGTGTCCTTCCTTGGAATATGTAGACTCTGTTTCGTCTAAATTGCTTAAGATAGAAGATGTTGTCTCAGTTTGATGATAGCCAGACCTGGGGACTGGCCGGCTTGGCAGGCAGTGGGGGCGACAGATTCCCCTGATGAACATTTATATCAATAATAGAAGGGTTGTTTAACAGGAATTCTTAAAGGAAAGATGAGATAATTTCATGTTTTGATATTCGTAAAATTGATTCTGTTGAAGCAGAGCTCTGCAGTGCATATTATTGTGCTGTAATTTTGGCAAAGATGTGATTCAGATTGGCAAAGTGTCTGGGAAGGGGAAATCCAGGGAGGAGAGTGAGAGCTGGCTGGGCCAGGAAGCAGAGGCCAGGAGCCAGGTCCTGGTGGCCCGGTGAGAGCCGGGACAGTGGCCCGGGAGCCTCGGCCATGGAGGAGCATGAGGGAGAGGAGGCTGCAGCTGGGAGAACCCGAGAGTGCTTGAGTTTCTGGTAGTGCTGAAGCCTGTGGAGGGAGTGGGAGCACCCCGGGGACGGGTGCGTGCATGTGTGTGGTGAGGGAGAGACATTTAAACATCGTAGGAATGAAGGATAAATTTAAAATCCATCAAGCAGAGTTGAGACAGAATGACAACGTGAAGAACATGAATCACTCTTTCTAGGGACCCACCCAACTGTTTGCAGATTTTGAAATGTATTTTTCCCTTCATTTCTCCTCCCTACCAAGCTTATCCTGGACCTTTAACTTCCTTCCTCTGCTCCTTTGACCCAGGCTTGGTGGCTGCATACCTAGCACTGACCAGTGTGTCCCCAGAGCCTCCAGCCCAGCATCACTGATGCTTTGGGGTGTGGTGTGGGTAGGGCTGGGAAGACCATGCCAGGTGCTAGAAATACAGGAGGGGACAAATGAGGAGGATTTTGAATGACCTGCTTTCCAGGGAAGTCAGGATCTATTCAGTGTTCACCTGGGGCTTTATTACATACCCAGAAAGATCATTCTGGCTTTTTCTTGTCCACCTGCTATCTTGGTGTGATGCGGAGGGGGCTGGGAGAGGCATCTATTATTCTGCTTCATGTGATAGTGATAGTGTGGTCAGTATAATGGAAAAAATCATAAGCCAGGATCTGAAACCTGAGCTGTCTCCCAGCTCTGACTTTGAGTGGTGGTGTGGCTCTGGGCAACTGTCTACATCTCTGTACCTCAGCTTCCTCACCTATAAAATGGCATGGCTATACCATTAAGATTCCTACCCATTTGAGTATTCTTTGCTGTAATGACTTTCAGTTCAGACCAGGGGGGCCAGTGGTGGCACCTGGAGGGTAGCATTCTTGGAAGATGCCTCCCCTGGGCACCTGGCACAGACCCCAGTGCATAGCGGGTGCTCATGAAGCACTGATTGAGTGATCTGGATGCAAGGGTTTCTCTGAGCATGTGACACTGCTCAGTGCCAAGGGGGCATGTGTGTGCCACTTGTGGTCACTAGGGGTGTGGTTTGGAACGTGGGTGGGGAGGAGGCCAGGGATTCAGGTGTTGGAGTCTTGGCTGGAAGAGAGACAGTGAGCAGATATCTCAAAAGGGTGGTAGGTTTGGGCCCTCTCACATTGGACAATCTGTCCCCCAGACTCCAGACTTGCCATGGGAACTGTTTTGGATTCTTTAGTCCCCCAAATCCTCTCTGCACATGCTCTTCCTTTTGTCCATAATCTGCTCCCTTTCCTCACCTGGCAAGTACTGCTTAAATAAATGCAGCATAATACTCATCTCCTCCACAAAGCCCTTCCAGCCCCCAGATGGGCTTTGGTGCCCCTACTGTAAGCTCACACAGCAATGGGGCCTACCTCAACCACAGCCTATCATGTTGCATGTCAGAACTGATGTTTTTCCTGTTTCTCCCATGAGGAGGATGTGGACTGAATCCAGCTCATTGCAGTGTACCCCGTGCCTGGCACAGTGCCTGGCACATGGTAAGCTCTCAGTATTGACTGAATGAGTATGTCTTTCACAGGGAAATCTGGCCACATCCTCCTTGGCATGGAAAAGGAAATGAGGCTCAAGGACGCTAGCAGAGGCACCTGATTCCACACTTGTTTCCCAGATCCTGCGCTGGATGCACGCATTAGGAAAGGAGGAAGGGGCCTACACAGGGGTCCCAGTTCTCAAAGATAGGCAGCCTGTGGCTGGTCCTGGGGAGAGAGTGCGAGAATCAGGGCAGCAGGTGGTGGGTGGCATTTCTCCAGAGGAGTCAGGACACTGAGGAATGGGTAAGAAAGATTCTTTCACCCGAATGGGAGAGAACTGGGAGAGAACAGCCAGCTAAGCTGTCTGCGGCTGGGGCCCAGAACGATAGCCTTTGGAGTTCTCCTCTCCTTGTAGCGGACCCGGAGCCATTCATGACGTTGCATCTAATCATTTGTTTAACCTCTGTCTTCTGCACTGGACTGTGAAGTTCATGGGGCAAAAATCAAGTCCATTTTACTTAACTTTGGGTACTCAGCACTTGGCGCTCAGCCTGGTCCACAGCGGATGCTCCTGAGCTCAGCGATCATTTGCGGGGTGCCTGCTGTGAGCCAGCTTCTGGGCCGGCCCTGGGACCTGGGGCCTGGGACGGAGCTGTGGGGCAGCCCCAAGCTTTGACGTCACTAACCTCTTGCTTTTCTCTCTTTCTCTCGTGCCCCCCTCCCCACCCCGCGCAGAGCAATGTTCTGGGATGGTGCCCGAGATGCGTGGACCGAGCCCAGGCCGCAGGCTGCCCGAGCCCGCCCCCTGCCCCGCCGCGGCCGGGAGCCCTGAGCCCTGGGCCGCGGGCCGCCGCCGCCACGTCCTGGCCCTGCCTGAGGAGGAGGCATGGAGGCCCCAGCAGTGCTCCCTGCTCGAGGCCGACGCCTCGGACGAGGTGGGCATGCTGCCGGCCTCCCCGCGCGCCGCCGCCTCCGGCTTCGACAGCTTCTTCCCGGTGCAGGAGGGCGAGGGCGCGGGCTGGGAGGGCGGTGCGGCCCTGGACGCCGGCGCCGGCCCCTTCCTCCCGGTGAGCCCCGAGGTGATGAAGCGGCGGCGCGGGGGCCTCATCGAGCAGCGCGACATCATCAAGGCCCACGAGGCGCACAAGATGCAGAGCACCCCGCAGGCGCGGCGCAAGGAGTGGGAGTGAGTACGGGAAGGCGGCCCGGGGCGGGGGGGGGGGGGGGGGCCGGGGCGGGGAGGGTGGTCCCCGGGGGTCGGGGGTCGGTGCCTTTGTCGCTGCTGCCGCTCAAGAGGCGTATGACCCCTCGAACGAGGCCCCTGGGGTGGGCCGGGACCTCGCCAACCAGCTGTAGGCTGCGTCCCACCTCCCTGAGGCCTACCTCCGTCGAATGGCCGCAACCCGCCTTCCCCTCCAAAGCATTCGTAGTTTACTAAGACCTGGGGAAGGAGCTGTGGTCTGTTCCACACTCTGAGCCTCCCTGGAAAGAGGGGTTCTGTAAAACCATGGAGAAGCCACCAAAACGCGAATCATCAGCCTCATCTTAATTCTGGAATTGTAGCTAAACGTACGCTTGCTAATGTCCTCCTTGGGGTAATGATTACATTTTGGGGGCAAGTCTTCAGTGGTGGAAGAGCTCATGGCCCCCATAGCTTTATGTCTGATCCTTTTGGGTAGAGCAATCTGTCTTAGATTGCCTTTAACCCAATTCACGCCTATTGAGAAGTTGGGCCTTATTCCAGTGTCCCACATTAAAGGAAGAGCATATTGCATCTGATTCTCATTTGGCGCTCCACGTGTATACCCCACCTAGGGGCTTTGTTTCATATTTTTGGATGTCAGTGTATGTTCTGCATGTTTGCATGTCTTGTGGTCTGTATGTCTTTAGATTGTTGAGTTGTTGGATGTCATTAAGTGCAAAAAGACTAATAATAGATTTTTTTTGATGGCGGTGGTTATGGTAGAGTTTACCTCTCTGGCCTCATTAGACATTCTGGGTGGTGCAAAGGGGGGGCGGATTAGCTGATCTCTGGAGGTCTTTTCCTATGGATGTCACAATGTTTACTGGTTCATCATCCATCCATCCATCCATCCATCCATCCATTCATTCATTCATTCATTCAGTGGGCCCTGATGTGTGCCAGCCTCCTGGGATTCAGAGAGGAGTCAGGCATCTGGCAATCAACCTTCTCTCCTGTTGTTCACGTCCAAGTACTGTTAGTCTTTAAAACCCTACATAGCTCTAAGAGCCAGGCAACATCCTAAGCACCCATATTAACTTATGTTAATCCTTAACATAAGTTATGAGGTAGATACAGTTATTATCCAGATTTAACCAGTGAGGCACAGAGAAGATAGGTGACTTTCCCAAAGTCATTCCAATAATAACTATGTTGTTACTGTGATTTGATGATTTGGACTCTGGCAGTCTGGTTCTAGAATCCATGCTTCTATTCACAATGGCACAGTGCCTTTCTTTCCAATTCTCACAGTACTTAAAGTCTATCTCAACCACCAATTGAGATGCCATGACAAGAGCACTGGCTTGGAGGTTGAGACATTTGGGTCTAATTCCCAGGGTGATCTAAATAGTGGTATCATGTTGAATCTAATTAGTGGTATGATGTTGAATAAGTCACCTCATGGCTTCAAAAAATGAGGAGGTGGCCATGTGAATATCATGTGGCTCTGATAGTATTTCTTTGTATTCAGAAGTACTGTATTTCTCTGCACGTCCATCTTGTTTTCCTGAGAGGATTCTGAACAACTCCAGGCCAGAGACTATCTTACACATTTTTCGTGTCACTCAGTGCCTGTCATATGGCCTAACTCAAGAATTCCTACAATACTCACTGAAAAACTAGCTTCACCATGACAAGCAATGCATAAGTAACTCTTTATCTTTCTCTAAGTTAAACTTTTGCTAGTTGGGAGGTATAAAAGTCTAGTAGCAGCCACCTACTAGGAGTCATGGTGGGGTTGGTTGGGAGACTATGCTTTCACCTAGGAAGGTCCATGAGGAGGTGATACAGAGCAGATACATCAGTGGCTGGCGGGGGGGGGGGGGAGGGATTGTCAGCTTTCCTGAGTGTGGTTGTGGAGGAATTAAGGAGGAGATACCAGGGAGGTAGGAAGAAAGCCATAGTGTGGGGTACCTGGGTGGCTCAGTTGGTTAAGCATCTGCCTTTGGCTCAGGTCATGATCTCAGGGTCCTGGGATCGAGCCCATGTCTGGCTCCTTGCTCAGCAGAAAGTTGTTTCTCCCTCTGCCTCTCCCTCCACTCATGGTGCTCTCTCTCTCTCTCTCTCAAATAAATAATTAAGATCTTAAAAAAGAGAAAGCCAGAGAGTGAAGAGACAAAGAAGTAAAGAGAGGTATCTGTTCAGAAGGAAGGAGTCATCTTCTATAGAAGAGGTTGTTGAGAGGTCAAATGAGGATGGAGAAGGGATCACTGATTTCAGCAATATGGAGGTGACCTTAAAGGTTACAGTTCAGTAGGATGATGGGGCCAGGGCCCAATTGGAATGGGTGAAGAGAAAATGAGAGGTGATAGAGACAATGCTGCCCCACTGCCTGCCTCTTAATGCTCACAGCCTTATCACTGCAGGCCGTATGGAGACCTCCGTGGTTAATAATGTCATGCCTTTTTCCTTGCCCATCTAAACTCCATCCTCACATGGCTCTACATGCCTTAATCAGACCCACTTCTTGCTCCTTGCTAGCTCCCAAACCCTAATATTTTACTGTATGGAACTCTTGTTCGATCATCAGAAAAATCCTCTACGTTTTTCTTTCTTTTTTTTTTTGAATTTTTATTTATTTATGATAGTCAGAGAGAGAGAGAGAGAGAGAGAGAGAGAGGCAGAGACATAGGCAGAGGGAGAAGCAGGCTCCATGCACTGAGAGCCCGATGTGGGATTGGATCCCAGGTCTCCAGGATCGCGCCCTGGGCCAAAGGCAGGCGCCAAACCGCTGCGCCACCCAGGGATCCCTCCTCTACGTTTTTCTAACCTTTTCGGACATTCCCTTCATGTCCTTGGTACCTGCATCTCCCCCAAGAACATGGCTTGATCGGCAGCTGCCTTATATGGTAGCTGCCTTCCCTCCCAAACTTCCTCACATTCTTGAGCCTGAAGCTGGGGTAGGTGTCTCCTCATTATTGCTTCTGGACCATTATTCCTCATGCCTGTTTTAAAATAACAGCTTTGGAGCTTATGGCATCATGCAATAGCACCTGCTACTTCTTTTTGTAGCTATCTGCAGACTCCTAGGCCAGTCCTCTTTATTCCAGAAGACTTTAGCTCTTGGTTTATTGCCTGTCTCCCATCTCTCCTCTTGCCATCAGTCTTAGTGATTTTCATATCCACTTAAATGACCTCTCCTAGACCATGGCCTCTTAGAGGCTTAAATTCTTCTCCTTCATGGTTTTGCCTCCATCTTTGCAGCTGAGACCTTACTTCCATGACCTGCCCAGACCTTGTAACTGCCCTGCTCCATAATCTCAGTTTCAAGCATCCTACTCTCTGACCACCACCTCTTTGTCCAGTTCACTCCCTCTAATAATTAGTTCCCAAGATTCTTTAACCTCACTGGCATCCACAAAACAGCGATCGTATTACTTTTTTTGCTACTCCCCTCCTCAGTCATGTCCTCACTTCTCATCTTATCAAATTAAATTCCACTGTAAGCACCAAAAATACTTTCCAGAGCAAAATGGTGATGTCAGTCTTGAGGTCTCCTCCTACCCTCCCAACCCTTTCTCCAGCCAAGTTCTCAGAGCTAGTCATCAGCCAGGGGCAAGAATGCTGGATGCCTCCCAAGCTGCTCTTGTCTCTACTTCATGCTTCCTCATCCTTGTTTACACCTCAACATCCTTGCCCCTCCGTTGCTCCATTATACTGGTCTAACTGGACTCCAACTGTGCTTAAATCCCACTTGCTACCTATTCTTCCCTTGCACTTGAGCAGTAGAACATTGATGTAGAAAATCTCGCAGCTATGCTTACTGGTCTCGCTATAAATCCATGACCCCATACCTCAAGTTGTCCCTTGGTCTTGCTCAGAAATCCTGTGACTTTTCACCTTTCCATTCACCCTTACACTCTTAGAGATTACTAAATTTAGAGATACTTTCCTCTTAATTCTCAAACCCCAATGTCTCCACCCAGCCTCTTCTGAGCTCATAACTGCAACTGCCTTCCTACTTCGCTGGGAAAAGAACAGAAGTCAAAGAAGCTTTCAGGTATTCCAACCACTGCATTGACCATGCACTGCATCTGTATCCCTATTCCAGGCCTTTCCTTCAGTTTCTGTGGACCAACTACTCATCATGCTCCATGTGGAGGTCTAGAGGTAGAGTGTGATGAGCCCTTTTGTTTACATTCTCTGTCTCTGGTTCCCTCTGGAACGGACTGAAATCAGGCCTTTGTCCCAGTCAAGCAAATATCTTCCTTTCACCTCTTTTGCTGGTTTCCTCTTCCTTTTTCCAATCCCCAAACATTGGGGGGCCCAAGGCTCCATCTACCATCTCTCACCAACACCTACTTCCTGGTGACCTCACTCAGTCCCAGACCTTTAGAAACCAGTGCAGATTGGTGACTCCCAAATTTGTATCTCTGGCCAAGACCTCTTCCCTGCATTTTAGATGCCACATGCTTAATCAGCACCTTTACTTGCACATCCATAGGTATCTCAAGCAAAATCTGTCCAACAGCAAAATGCCAATTTTCCTCCAAATCTGCTTTTCCTTTGGTCTTCTCTTTCTCAGTAAATGGAACCTACATTCATTCTTTCTGTTGCTGGGGCCAGAAGCATTGGCATCATCCTGATTTCTCTCATACTGACATCCAATTCTTGCCAATCCCCATCAGTTTTCTCTTTGAAATGTGTCAGATCACATTTTATCACTTTTGCCACTATCTCCGTCATCTGAGTCACCTTTGATATTTATTTTTAATAGACAAATAATAGACACTTATATGGTACTTACTAGATACCCAACACTATTCTTTTTTTCTTAGAGATTTATTTTATTTGTGAGAGACAGTGAGCATGGGAGGCGAGCAGAGGGATAGGGAGAGAGAATCTTAAGCTGTCTCTGCATTGATCAAGGAGCCTGATGTGGGGCTTGATCTCATGACCCTGAGATTATGAGCTGAGTCAAAATCAAGAATTGGATGCTCAGG